TTCTCGGTTCACGCAGTTCGTCACGTTGTGTGTGTGTTGTGTGTAGTGGCGGACTGGTGGGCTGGGGACGGGCGGCAACAGCACCTTCCACGGCACTCGCATGCAAGTGGGAGACACGCCGTTCTACCCCCGTTGTGTGAAATCCTGGTGTTTGTGTGTGTATGGGGGGCCAGGTCGTGCTGTGGCGAGCGCAGGCATGGTCAGTCGACCATGTCAGCCACCGCGCCCATTCCCCATTCCAGTCTGCTGACCGGCTCGGACAGCGGCTGGGGTGTGGGAATGGGAAGGGAGAGTGAGGTCGACGACTCAGCGCACTTTCTCCTCACTTTAATCAATCTGACGCGCTTGAAGCTATCACGGTGCGCAAAAAGCCGTGGCTTGGAAGGTTGCCAAGTGACGGTGTATCTTGGACCTCCTCCTTGACCGGTTATGGTCTGAGAGTCAGGCTGCAATGGCTCCTTTTTAATGTGGCCTTTATGGCATTCCCACCACAGTGTGGGATCCGAGCCAGGCGTTGGCGGCACGCCCAGGTGCGGCTTCGGCCATGCCAGCCTCCAAATCTCTGTTGTGTTGGTTGAAATCCTGGTTATTGTTGTGTGGACCAGGGGGTGTGGTGGAACGCCAAGGTGAGGATCCGTCCGAGCCATCCACCTGCGGCCTCCCTCGTCTCCGGTCTTCTTGACTCTGTCTTGACACCGGGTCCAGGCGGGGGAGGAGGAGAGAGTGTAGGTAGATGCAGCGCAAGTCTACTGGCACTATAACCCTCTGCGCAAGTCACCGTCACTGCTCCCACAATGCAGTCTGTGGGGCACACGGTGAACATCGTCGAAATCGACGGTCGAACTGTCGTGTGTGTGTGGCTGTGGGGTGTAGGGGTGTCCAGCGGTGGGTTCACGTGATGGGCTTAGTGGTCGCTAACTTGCTTGCAGGTGAGACTACGCATAGCGTCCACTTGCTGGCACCCAACTCTCCCCTGTGGCTTCACGTAGCTGGGCTCTGCTCAGCGGCCACACCCCGGGCAACCGCCTCGACCGGCGGGCTAAACCAGGTGAGGGCGCTGTGCGCGTTGTGCCGCGTGCACATGGTATTGTGGACTCCGCTGGCTGGATGGTCGGATGGAACTCTGCGTCGGCACCGTCGTGATGAGGCTCCGTCTGGATAGCCGGTGACGGGATGGATCTCCACATCGAAATCGCCTTGACGCGCCCACCTACGCCGACGGAGACCGCGGCTTACGGCAAAGTCGAGACGTTCTCCACTACGAACCAAAAGTCGTGGCCCCATAATCGAGTTCGGCCGCTCCAAAATGGCACACATGGACAGCCTTGTTCAGGGGTGGC